TTCCCTATTCTCCAGTTAACATGAAAGTCCTTTTGCCTGCACTATAGGACCAGGTGACCACCACCACCACCAATACACCAAAATCAAAGACCTTAATGGGACAAGGATGGTTACAACACAAAGCACTGAGGTTTCCACTTCACCCTACTGGTCTAGTCTTAACCCTTTCCACGGCCTTTCTCTCTATCTTTCTCTACTATCTCTGTGTTTCCTGCCTACCAAATGATCAAGTGCATAGGTTATGGTTTGCTTGATATTGCCAACTCTGAAAATAATGATAATGATGTCATATTTCTACAATGTTTTAAGGTTTGCAGAACACTCTCTTCACAACAATCCTGCAAGCTAAATAGCCAAACTATTTTAATGTCCATTTCCCATGTGAGGAAACTGAGGCAAAGAAAAGTTACGTGACTTACCCTAACAGCTTTTTTCTAAGGACACAGCTAGTTAAGTATCTAAGCCGATATTTGAATCCAGGTTTCTTCACTCCAAGTCTAGCACACCTTCCACTAAACTGAGTAATTGCTGAACTGTCTGCAGTAACACAACTTTAGAGTTCTCTTGCATATCGATCTGCCCCTCAATATCTGCCATCCCAGGGGCACACACACTCTTCTTGGTTCTGAGTTTGCCTTCTCTTTCAGTCTTTCAGGTAAACAGACATTCTCATGAAACCCACCCATGAGAAGTGCACTCTCAACTATTCCTTTAGCTCATTCGATCCTTTTCAGAAAATTAATAACACTGCCTCTTTCCAGCCAAAATGGCTCTTAACTGGAAAAATTCATTGATGTATGTAAGCAATAGTCTCATTCCTCTGCTCTAAAATAAGCAATAATGGTATAATGTAAAGTTCCCTGGACTTAGCGTCAGAAAGAACTGGATCTGAGTCTCTTCCATGACACTTACTAACTATGTAACCATAGACAAGTCACTTTTCTCTCTGATTCTCAGTTCCCTCATCTGAGAATTTTTGAATAATACCCCATATACCTCAAAGGGTTGTTGTGAAGATAAAATATGACAATTTATGTAAAGTGAGTTGTAAACTCTAAGGAACTATGATGGTCAGCTATCATCATCTTGTCAGTTATCATCATCTTGTTCTCATCCTTTTTAATGGAGTTCATTACAGAAAAAGGTCTGGGGACAAGTTATACTATTTTTTAAAAATCTAATGTTCTAAGGACATTTGCACAGATTGATGATAAGATTCTTGTAGCTGAATAAAAGTACTACAATGTAAACTCCTGATGAGGCTCATTGAAAGCCCCAGTATAGCTCTAGGAATGGATTAGAAAAGAAGAATGATATGGGCCACATTTTTGACTTAGAAAACCACTAGTTTATATAGATATTTTTAATTAATACATCAACACATTAAATCAGATAGGAGCCACATTTTAATTTCATTCGGGCAGAACTCAGGAGTGTTGTGGACTGCATGTGGCCTAAGGGAAGGCTGTATGTTGAACTAGGTGACACAGAAACAAAAGATGTCAATAAAAATGTATTTTAAAAAATAATGGTCTAAAATTACCAGCATTATCCCGTTTCCACAAACAAATCCTCATGACTTAGCCATTCCTTTTAATGATTCTCTGTTACCTGAATTTATCCAAATATCACTTATGGAAGAGGAACTTTCTGGTGTACTCTTGGATCTTAGTGGTTTCACAGGCTCTTGTGTTACAGCTGACAAATCCAATGTTGTATATCTGTTACCAGCCTTAATATCATTTGATGTGATGTCTACTTATTCGTAAAGTATTTCGGTATACTTTTATCTCTTTTACCTGTGCTTTAAGGAGGCTTATCAATCCTCTTCCTCCTATTTGGTATGGAGGATGCAGTGTTTCTGTAGCTGCCTCAGGTTGACAGGCACTATGTTTGGGTAATATTGCATGGTTTTTTTGTTCGGGTATTTTTCAAATCTCTTACGGTCTATTTTACCATTCTGAAAGTTTACATTAAGGTAGGTATTGTGTAGGTATTAATTGCTTTAAATATGTTCTTCTTATGGAGCTTTAAATTCAGAATGTCATTAAGTGTCCTAATGGATTCAACCATAGCCTTCTTTTTGATATTTTTATGCTCAATGTGTCATGCTGGGAGGAAATTGAGGTATTTGTATGTATCACTTTCATCCACTGGTTCACTGTAACCTCCAAATTCAAGCTAAAAGCCTTCAGTCTCTATATTTCTTTGGCACATATTAAGAATTTTACATTTCAGACTAAAAGACATTTTGATATTATTGGAGAAAGAATCCAAGAATGGAAGCAGTTTTTAAATTTTTCAGTAGATCACATAAGCTTGATATTATCCATATATATCAAGTAGCTAAAAAGATGCTTTGGTTCTACTCCTTTAATTTGGAAGCCATACTTACTTTGATTTAGCAGAGAAAAAAATACATTTAAGACCTATCAGAACCAAAGTAGACATAAATTACCTCCCTAAAAAATTACATATTTTAGACTAGTTCTGACATTATTGTGATGTTGACATATTTTAAATAGACAGAACCATTTTCCATGTGGACATCCGATATTCTAGTGATCTTACTCTTTTGGTGTTTATTTTATACATTTGTAGTTTATAAATAAACCATGAGGGAGGCACTGAGTCAAAGGCTTTTTGATGTTATTGTTACTGGTCTGCATCTGTGATTTAATTGGTATAGGAAACTTCCAGGGAAGAAATTCCCCCTAACAAGACAGACTGGTAACTGTTCTGCAACTCGAAGTCTCAGTTAGCCCAGAGTCACACAACTAATATGAGTCAGAAGCAGGACTTGAACCCAGGTCATCTTTACTCCAAAATTGGCCCTCTGACCATTACGTTATGTGTCTCTCATCGTAATTATTAAATATCCAAAATGAAGCCACTGCTTTCTGTGAGGATGCCAAACCTAAGCAGGATCTTGGCCTTAAAATGTTGGTAATCACTGGCAAGGGAACTTTCCAACTCAGGAAGCCTCTTCTACCCATCTCCAATTTGTCAAAACACAGGAACAAGGCTAGGAAGCTCACACTGGCTTAACAATTTCTGTTTCTACTGGCTTTGGAATGTAAGAGGAGAAACACTGGTGGCTTTAGCAGCCAAAGCCACTGCAACTGGAGACCATGCAGGAATTTTCAGGATCTCCTCCATACTATTTCTGCTGCTATTCATAAAGTCTGTGTATTGCCTCTATCAGACTCCTCTAGGGTTAAGGATGAGAGGAAGTGGAGATTTGAGGTGGGGAGAAACAGAGTGAAAGCTCCATGATGAAGCCTTTAATAAAGTGACATTCAAGAGAATGGGGAAGAGCTCATTATTACCCAAACTCTTTCATTTTTGCTGTATCTAAGACCTTGTGTGGCTTACAGGATGGTCTGGAACACAAGATTCTCCCAGAGACACATATAACATAGGAGAAAACAGTCACACAGAAAAATTCACCTGACTGCAAAAGACGTTAAGAATATTATTGCTCCCCTATAGATAGAGTGCTGGGCCTGGAGTCAGGAAGACTCATCTTCCCGAGTTCAAATTTGGCTTCATATACTTACTAGCCATCTTAGTCTGGGCAAGTCATTTAACCCTCCCAGTTTCCTGAAAAATGAACTGGAGAAAGAAATGGCAAACCACCCCAGTATCTTTGCTAAGAAAACTTCAAATGAGTCATGAAGAGTTAGATATGACTCAATACGACTGAACAACAACAAGAAGAGCTCTCACTGGCTCTCTCATTCTCAAACAGCTCTGCAACTATAGTTGGCCAGCCTAATAAACACCAACCTATAAGTTCCTCCAGCTTTTACCTATTGCCTATAGGCAGCTTCAGAATTCAAGAGAGGCTGATGTAGTCCCTAGAGCTAATGACCATAGCTGCTACTTGCTATTCCCATAACTTAGTTGTCCTGGCTTCTTTCATATTACATAATCACTTGGCCTGGTCTACATAACTGATATTTCTACAATCTCAAATGTCATGTTGTCTGGGTATATAAGCTTGCCTCCTGATCAAGGAACTAAAGAAGAATTATTCTCTATGTATGCAAAGAAATTCAGCTTTTTTTGCCATCACAGGACAGCAAAATAAAGTCTAACCCATATGACAGCAATAGTTGTAACCAATCAGAGTGGGGTGGTAATGTCCACTGAGTGATCACCTTTCAGTGCTAGAACTGCTTTTCTCCATAAATGCCACCACTGAACAGTTCCATAGAGTGGGAGGATTTCAGAACAGTTGAAAATACAATTATCTTTTATAAAATATGAATTAGAAAATAAAACACAGTGAAGCCCTATTTATTTCTTACAGTAACAATTTGATTTCCATGTCAATATGGGGGAAAGCAACAGTTAAAACAGTTAATGCAAGTATAAAAATGAACAGTCTAGTTGAGAGAAAGTGGGGGGAATTTCAGGAGAAAGATTTTGGGAATTTTCTTCTGGGCAAAAGGCTGATTATTGGCCACAAAAGAAAGCTGGATAGAAGAAGGGGCCTGGAATCTAGACAGGTGAAATAGGAGGTAACTTTCACTATTACATACGCATCAGCAACGCGTAAACAGACAATAAGGTATTCACAGAATCACAGAGTTTGAGAGTTGGGACGGACCTCAGAGGCCATCTGGTCTAATACACCTAGGAAAGGAATCTCTGCTTCATGGTGGGGACGGCTAACAAGCGACTGTCCTGTCTCTGCAAGAAGACCTCCAGAGAGAGAGAGCCCATCCACCTTTCAAGGCATAGTTGGATAGTTTCAATTTTTAGGAAGTTTTTCCTCAATTAAAGCCCATACTGGTCTCTGCACCTTCCACTCACTGCTCTTGTTTCTCTCCTTTGGGGGAGTCTAATCCTTCTTCCAAATGACAGCCCTTTAAATACCTAAAGAACGTTATTGTCTTTCCTGAGTCTTCTCTTCTCTAATCTTAGTATGCTCAGTTCCCTCAACCAAATTTGCTAGTGACATGATCTACAATGATATTTAGCATAATACATACCTCCTACAGTCATTGATCTTGTCAAAGGAGAGTGAAGTGAGGTTCCATCATCATTAAACTGATTTTTAAGTTCTTCTGCAGATTGCAAGTGAAGTTGGAGAAATTCTGCAATTGCACCTGAAGCTGCTTCTTTAACAGGATCCATCATTCTTTTCAGAACTCCTCTGTCATCCTTATGGACTTTCAAACAAAGCTTCTCCATTTGTTGGATGTTAGAGCGGAGTTGCTACAAGGAATTAAAAAAAATCACCACAAATACTTCAGTATTCAACATTCAACTTGTACTGAGCCTTTACCCCTTATTATGTGCAATGACACTATGTTCCAGGGATATAAAAAGATTTTTTAAAAAAAGGTCCTTGATCTCAAGTAACACATAATCTAGTCAGGAAAATAAGACAAATATTCAGATAAATATTATTCAAATTGGAATAGAAATGCTTACTAGAAGTATAAAGTGACAATGGATCAGGTGAGGGATAAATCACATGAAGCTGAAGTGGTAGCAGGAAAAGCATTATGCGAGAGACAGCAAATGACCATATCCTGGATGCAGACAAAGTACTTAAGAAAAAAAAAGGAAATACCTTCTTGGGCCCTAAACTTGTAGACCTACATATAAAGTGATGGCAATAAACATTCCACTATCTATTTATAAAAAAATGTAATACAATAATCCTTCCTCAAAGCTCAGCATTACTTAGGCCTATATTAAGAAGTGAAGAAGAATTAAGAAGCCTCTTGATGAGGGTGAAAGAGGAGAGTGTAAAAGCTGGCTTAAAGTTTAACATCAAAAAATTAAGATTTTGGCAACTGTCAACATCACTTTCTGACAAATGGAGGGAGAAGAAATGGAAGGAGTGTCAGATTTTATATTCTTGGGCTTAAAGATCACTGAAGACAGTGACTGCAGCCATGAAATTAAAAGATGCTTGCTCCCTGGAAGAAAAGCTATGGCAAATTTGGACAGCATACTAAAAAAGCAGAGACATCACCTTGTCCACAAAAGTCAGTACACTCAAAGCTATGTTTGTTTGTGTTTTTTTTCCAGTAGCAATGGATGGCTATGACAGTTGGACTATAAGGAAAGCTGAGCACCACAGAGTTAAAGCTTTTGAATTATGGTGCTAAGAAAACTTTTGAGAGTCCCTTGGACAGCAAGGAGATCAAATCAGTCAATATTTAAAAGAAAGCTGAAGCTTAAGTACTCTGGCTACATAGGGAGATGGAATTCATTAGAAAAGACCCTGATGCTGGGAAAGAATGAAGGCCAAAGGAAAAGGGAATGGCAGAGGATGAGATGGATAGGTAGTGTTATAGAAGCAATGAAGATGTACTTGGACAGATGAGAGATAGTGGAGGACAGAAGGGCCTGGTGTGCTATGGTTCAAGGGGTCATGAAAAGTCAGACATGGGGTAGCTAGGTGGCACAGTGGATAGAGCACCAGCTCTGGATTCAGGAGGACCTGAGTTCAAATCCGGCCTCAGACACATAACACTTACTAACTGTGACCCTGGGCAAATCACTTAACCCCATTGCCTAACCCCGCCCCCCCAAAAAAAGTCAGACATGACTGAATGACTGAACAACAACAACGATCAGGTAAGGGCCTTATAACTAAAGAGGAAAACTTTAGAGAAGACCCAGGATTGTCAGTAATCAAAATGACTGAGTTTTGAGAGGCTATTTAAAAAGACAGCCTAATGAAATTGGGTCCAGGATATTTTTACCCTAGATAATAGAAAGCTGGTAGATGAGGGAGACTATACAGTGGACAAAGGAGCTTTGTTCAGAATTTAAACTGTGAAACCATACTGATTTGAACTAAATGAAAGAGGAGGAGGAAGCCTATCTGAATTATAGACATCTAAATTTAAGAATGGATTTGTAAAAAACATAGTTTTACTACCTTCAAGTACAGTACCTCAAAATATGCCTAATAGAGTAGTAGTCATAGGATCATAGATTTAGAACCAGAAGACACCTTATACATCATTTAGGGCAACCCCTTCATTTGATAAACTCTGGCCCAAAGATGTTAAATGATCTGTCCAAGATCACATGTAATTAAGTAGCAAAGCTACAATTTGAACCCAGGTCCACTGACTACAAATTCTGTACTCGTTCCTTCTAGATAATTTTCTTTAGTGGAAGTAATTTATAATAAAAATAATTCACATTCATTTAGTGCTTAATAATTTACAAAATAATTTCCTCATAAGAACCCTATAAGGTTAGTTAATGCAAGTGTCATAATTAACACATTTATGCATGCACAAATGCATGCTTCTAAGGCTGAAGATTAATAACATCTTATTTCCCCAAATATCTGCACCTGGGGATTTCTGAAAATCAAAGAAGCACACGTCAGATAAGAGACTTTGTATCAAAGGGAAAAGCTGGGAAGCCATTTTTGGAGTTGGCAAATCACCTCTGCAATTTGAATACAAACTTGGAGAATCAAATCATCCTTCCTGAATCTTGTCCTCCTAAGGCCTTGGTTGGCTATGAAGAATATTCTTTAATAAGTTTAATAAATCACATTTGGAGATAAAAATCTCATGCATGGGTTTTCTCTTTTTCTTTTCTTGGTATGGATGCTGAACTACTCACTTGTGGAGAAGTCTTTGCCACCAAATGTGGAAATTCAAATGGTGGGAGAAACTGGTCAAGTTTCCTCACTTTACATTTCTAGAATTCACAGAAAGAACCTCCATGCAAATTGTTGTAGTATACAGATCTAATTTAACATCATAGTACAGATATGTAATTTCCCATAGTATTAAGATACTATAAGGGCAGCTAGGTGGCACAGTGGATAGAGCATTGGCCCTGGAGTCAGGAGGACCTGAGTTCAAATTTGTTCTCAGACCAGACACTTGGACACTTGACATTTACTAGCTGTATGAACCCTGGGCAAGTCACTTAATCCCAATTGCCTCGCCAAAAAAAAAAAAAAAAATGCTATGCAAAATCTTCAAATGATGGGCACAGAGAGGCAAAGGCACACTGATCTGCTGAATAACGAGATCATACTAAAAAAATTCTCCAGGGAGAAAAAATGATTAAAATCACCACTATTGGGGACAGCTATGTGGCACAGTGAATGGAGCACTAGCCCTAGAGTCAGGAGGACCTGAGTTCAAATCTGGCCTCAGACCAGACACTTGATACTTACTAGCCGTGTGACCCTGGGCAAGTCACTTAACCACATTGCCTAGCCCCCTTCCCTCAAAAAAAAAAATCACCTCTATTTATTAGAAAGGGAAATGGGTAATTAAGATGGATGTCTAGGGGACTTGCTAAAAGTGAAGAATTAATATAAAAAGGCTTTCAAATTTATAAAAACACAAGTCACTCCCCAAATGATAAATGGTCAAAGCATATAAACAGGTAGTTTTCAGAGGAAGAAATCAAAGCTTTCAATAGTCACATGAAAAAATGCTCTAAGTCATTACTGATTAGAGAAATGCAAATTAAAACAACTCTGAGATACCACCTTGCGCCTATAGAATGGATAACATGACAGAAAAAGAAAACAACAAATGCTGGAGGGGATGTGAAAAAGTTGAGACACTAACACTGTTGGTAGAGTTGTGAACTGGTTTAACCATTCTGGAGAACAATGTGAAACTATGCCCAAAGGGTTATAAAACCCAGCATACGACTACTAGGTCTGTATCCCAAAGAGATCAAAGAAAAGGGGAAACATGAAAATATTTATACTAGCTCTTTCTGAAGTAGCAAAAAATTGGAAATTGAGGGGATGCCCATCAATTGGGGAATGGCTGAACAAGTTGTAATATATGATTGTGATGGGATACTATTGTGCTACAATAAATGCTGAGCAGGATGGTTTCAGAAAAACCTGGGCAGATCTATATGAACTGATGCAAAGTGAAATGAGCAAAGCCAAGAGAACATTGTTCACAATAACAATAACATTTAATGATGATCAACTGTGACGTAGCTATTAGACTTACTATCTTTAGCAATGCTTCAAGACAATAATGCAAGCCAATTCCAAAGGACTAATGACGAAAAATGCCATCTACCTCCAGAGAGAGGAAATTGATGAATAGTGAGTGCAGATTGAAACACACTTTTCAAAAACTTTATATGTCTTGGGGAGGGGGGAGAAGGGGTTGCATGTATTTTCTTTTGCAACATGGTTAATACAGAAAGGTTTTGCATGATTTCATATGTAAAATTGATATCATATTGCTTGCCTTCTCAAGGGGTGAGGGAAGGGTGGAAAGGAAGAGAATTTGGAACTTAAAATTTTTTTAAATGTTAAAATATTTTGACATTTAATTGGGAAATAATTTAATAAAATATATGTGTATATATGAATACATGTATATATATATGTAATATTCACACACATATATACACATACACATATATAGCCACTATGGTTCAGTGAATAGAGCACTAGGCCTTGAGTCAGGAAGACCTGAGTTCAAATCCAGCCTCAGACACTTACTAGCTGTATGACCCTAGGCAAATTATTTAACCTCTTTTTGCTTTAATCCACTGGAGAAGGAAATGGCAAACCACTCCAGTATCCTTGCCAAGAAAACCTCATGTACTATGGTCCATGGTGTCACAAAAAAATCGGCACGACTGAGCAACAGCTACTACATAAAAATGACTGAATAACAACTATATTTATATCTATATGTATATATCTATATCTATCTAAAGGGGGAGAGCTCCCAGTAGGAGTCCTTGATATTTTTCCTAACTGAAAGGTTAGGAAATAGGTATCCCTATCCTTGGTTATGTTAGCCTCCATTCTGACAGCTGATGTCAGGTATTTTGTTTTATTTTATTTTAAAATATATTTGTTTTAAATATTTTATTTATTTATTTTTAAAAGTTAACCACCTGTTAAATCTGCATAATTTTGTTGCAACAACAAAGTTGCATAACTTTGGAATCTCGCAACTTTATTTGTACTTACTTCTCTTCGTTACAACAGGAATGAATAGCTAAAGAAGACAAAAGATATAAATATATATGTACAAACATACATATATCTATGACAAAACATATATGACAAAAAATATAAACATAGTTCCACTTATACCAGAAATGAACATAGCTTAGGAGCCCCAAGTGGGTGGTTCTAATCAACTGGTCAATCTCAAAGCTCAATTTAAATTACTATGGGGTTGGCACAGCCTTGCCCACAAGTTTTCACACAATCACCATGAAAACTG